GAGTAAAGATAGCTTTTATCCGCCAGCATATGGTGGAAACTCGTTTTCCTCGCCTTTTTATTTCACCTGTCACGATGTCATTGGACTGATGATGAAGCTTCAGAGTTTCTTTCCNCTAACACGTCGTCGTCCAGTAACTTATAGCGGATGGGTCCTTTTGTGTCTGGGAAAAATGTTCCTGCTGAGAGCAGTATCTCCTACAGCGACGGTTGCTCCTCGATCACTTGCCATCCGTTGGACGGTGTTGAACGGTGAATATGGCATCCAGCAAATGTGCTTGGCGTAACTTCGTCCACCACATTCGCGCTTTTCCTTTACGGTGACTCGTAAAAGATGTTGGATACGTAATTGGTGGTGTTCAATCTTTGATTTCGATGTGGCGAAAGCCCACGTGCGTGCCCTGGTTGACCCGTTCTGCCCAAAAATACTTTAGAATGTTGCTGTTATGTTCGTATTGGTTCTGGAAAACTTTCAACTATTCGAATTTTTTGTCAAATAATTTTCTTGTTAACCCGATACACCGCTTTGTTGTGAATATAACTGTTTCAGGAGAATCGCTTTTTGAAGATTCGCTCAGACGGGAAACTCATCTATGACAGAAGGTGGGTAAATCATGGAAGCTTTCAAATCAACCATTTACAATTGGGAGAGCTTCCGGGTTCAAAGTGGCGAGCTTCAGTCATATTTATGAGTTGCTGCGCTCTCTCGACGGCTCCCTTCGACAATGAAGACCTCGCTTGCGGCTTGATGCAATTAGTCTGAGAGTAGAGCTTCGTTCACTCCCTGAAAAACGTCACCTCGGTCGTGGGACATCTCTCTTTCGAGGGGTCATTGAGAAATCTAAAGTAGCCAGTTTCAGGTTAACACTTCACTTATCGTGCTCTATGCATTTATCACGTTATCCTATGGATTCACAAAATTGTGAAATCGCTTTCGCTTCCTGTGAGTTCCGGCATTTGACCTCCTTCTGGCAGATATTTCTGAGATTCTGCCGTCTATACTTAAGGAAATTCAATTCAGATGCTTACACAACCGATGATATTAAATACGAGTGGGATGTAGAGGCGATTCGAATTCACGACGGAGCCAACGGAGCTTTGCCAAATTTCGATATCGCCACTTTCCGAAACGGAACTTGCCACTCGAAAACCAACACAGGTAGAATATGATCGGCTTAGGGTAACCCAATTCTCATATGCTGGTCCGATTTCTCCATAGAGATGAGTCTGAGGGCACGGAAATCGGCAGTGCTGGCTACCTGAATTTGCATCCGTCCGATCTTCTCATATGAACAGTAGGGTATTACAGAGCTGAGGCAACCACCAAGGGTATTACACCGTCACCGTAGACAAGATTTTGTTGCGATTCTTCTGAATATTTTTTAAGGCCCCCTTACCCAGGTTGACTTTAAATAAGAAGTTTCATTATGAAGGAATGGAAAAATAAATGAAAATGTAAGGAAAGAGTGAAAGAATTTTCATCAAATTACGCTGCCCTTGAAATGCTTCTGCCAAAATTCCTTGGCGACACACTTACCTTAGTCCGAGGCATTAGCATTTCCAACCCATGGGAAAACAGTCTAATAGTCGAGCCACCACAGTCAGTAGACATTTCACGTCCACAGAATGGCCTCCCACTTTTTCGTAACTCTCAATTAAGAAACGAGCCAGTTCGAATAGATGGGACAACGCAGGGTTGAAGTAATCTAGAGACATCGAACTAATTGGATGTACAAGGAAAGGCTACAGCGGACCCTTTGGTACTTTGAGTAAAGATAGCTTTTATCCGCCAGCATATGGTGGAAACTCGTTTTCCTCGCCTTTTTATTTCACCTGTCACGATGTCATTGGACTGATGATGAAGCTTCAGAGTTTCTTTCCAATCTAGTGGTTTGTGAGCTTTGAGTGGGTTATGGAAGCAGGAATGTGTCTGTTGTTCCCTTGATCCAAGCTCTTACAGTACTACCAGAAAGTTTATACACAATCGGGACCAGTGCACAGCTTCCTTCTTCTTTATTCTAGTACCATTTTACACTAGAAAGAACTTTGAAGGAAAATTTTCGTAGTGGTAGTTGGAGAAGAATCACTAGAAGGCACTTATACTGCACTGTATGCTCTTGGAAAGATGTGAAATTAAATGAAGCAAAATCTGAAACTACTGGAAATGGATGTTAATTGCATGCCAATTATCGTCGTCGTTTCAGGCGAGTATTCGTGCTTGCGAGTTGAACTGAAATTGAATCGGGTCTTCTCGTTCTTTCTACTACAACTGTACATTCCGTCGTCTATGTTGGTCGGAGTCGCTTGGATCTCATACTGGATTGATTGGAAAAGTACAGCTGCTCGAGTACCACTGGCTATCGTCACTCTGCTTACAATGATCACTACTTCCCATGGTACGTTTACAGTTCGTCTGAGGAGATTTTTCTAACTCTCTGGGAATGTTCTCGAGGTTCCAACACACTTTCATTTCTGCAAACGATACAGGCCGTTACGGTGGG